AAAAAACAGAAGAATGAATTTACAAATTTAACACTCTACCCACTTTGTAATTTATTATTATTTTCAAATATGGATTCGTAAAACTGTTTGTTTTTTTTACTAAAAATTTGTATAAAAGTTTAATAGATCTTATTGTGCAATTAAATAAATCTCAAGTGGTCATAAATAGACATACGAACATAATTATTTAAAATTATTTTTTTACCCATTTTTTGATTTATGTTTTATGTCTTTAATAGTTATTTTATTTTTTTAGACGTTCATTAAATTTCAATATATTGATCATTAAAAATAAATAAAATATATTATTATATTTAACAATTAATCGTGACAATAATTATGAAATGTTTAAAGTGCCCCTGAGGATGTTGGAAAACCCGAAAAAACGATAAGTAAAAAATTAATTAACATGATTTTTATTTATATATCTATTTAACACTAGAATATTTAGATTTAATTACACAATCAAAATTAATTAATTTGAAAAAACTTGTTCATACTAAAATACATAATTACTCTTCTATATTACATGTTAATTTATTGCTTAATATTGAACAGAAGTTCATGTCTGCCATAGAAGTGTAGTAGTATGCTTTAAACCCAGATAACCTATATATGCATAGATGTCTAATGTCAACTTATTCCACAACATTGATTGTCGATTTTTGTCTAGTTCTTCTTATATATTGAAGTTTAAAGCTATATATTTACTTTTCATATTGATTAAAAGTTGACCATGTAGTGCCAACTTACATATGCAAATATGCAATCTCAAGCATTCTCAAGTAATCGAGGATTTACTTTTGATTAATGTGAACATTTTTTAGTTCGATATCTAGAAAATTAAACTATATCCACTTTTATAAAAAGTACTTTTTTACAGATACAGATGCTTAAAGGAAATCGTAACTGCATATAGATACAGGCACTGTTTTAAAAAAGTAGCTAGGCAAAGATACTAGAAGTAAAAAAGAATATTTAAGCTACGCAAAGGTACTATTTAAAAAAAAAAGTAAAATACTTAGAGTAAACTACTTTATATTAAAAAAAAATTATGTATATTAGTTATACACAATGTGGTTTTTATAACTTGAAGGTATAATATTCTATTTAATTACAGATTTTTTGTTCAGATATACAAATATATATATTAATACTTAAAAATTGGTGTACCTATATAAATTATACATAGATATGCTGATAAAAAAATATTGTGATATTAAAATATATAATATAACTAGATAAACCGACAAACGTTGTTTTGCCTTATAAATTATTTCTAGTTTCTAGATAAATTCTAGTGTAGACAAAAAGTAACTTACTTATTATAAGTGTGTAAGTATGTGGTATATGCATGAAATAGGCATGGAGCGCTATGAACGAAAAGGATAATAAAAATAACAAACGCCAAACAATATTATTTTTAAGTTATTATAGTTTATTTATTAAATTATTAATTTAAAATCAATAGATTTTATGATACCAAGTTCCCTGGCAACAACTGTTGTATCTTCAAATTTAAATTGTCTTGGATTGACTGTAAATAATAATAATGATAATGGGCCAGTAACATTAACCAACAACAGTCGAAGATAAAAGTACTCAGTGTGTCTTGGATTAACTATAAATAAGCGTTTGATTTAAATAAATTGAGACATGCATCAACTGGTGAAACTTGCTTGCGGGGCATCCATTTTTTTGTTTAAGGCCATGTGAAATAGCGTGGTACTTGTGAATAGAGTAATGTTTTTGCAAAGGCACCAAAATCATCCGTACTATTAAACAATTCAAAAAATGCAGTGAGTGCAGATTTAGGTGGATTTGTACCACGATCAATCACTGTCTCGTTCGTGAAAAATACACGCTGACCATTTTCAAGATGGACGGCTACCTGAACAGCTGCTGGATCCCGTTCATGAATTAGAAAGCCGAAGATACGCCAAGCAGCTTCATTGGAGGTGATGTACCGACCAATTTGGTAGAGCGTAATTTCACCGTTTTTGTTCATTGGAGGAGCATTTACATTAGTATTTTCTACTCTAAACACAGCCATACCACCGCCTTTATGGACATACTTATATATTTGATGCTCTTCACAGAACTGCAAAACTCAACATTAATATAAGCATTGTATGTCTTGCTTAGCAGAGGCGAATACGTTACCACCCGCCATTGTCCCCCATTATCGGGATTTCTTCGACGATATATTGGATATCCGTCGGTATTTGTTATAGTATCATTAGTGAAATCTTTAGAAAAATTTTTAGTACATTTTCCATCTGCCATGCAAGCCGAAGACGAAGAACGAAGTCGATGTAAATGCTCGATGTACTTGTTGGCGTAGTTACATAAAATATTAAGAAAAAATTTTTCTTTTTCAAAAATATAAACAAAATTTATGTCAAAAAAATAAAAAATTTTTTGTTAAGCACTAAGGATATTTTTACTGGGTAGGGACTCCCTAATCACTTTAGCGGTATGAAAAATAGATAGTAGCCGATTCTCAGACCTACTGAATACGCATATAAAATTTGGTAAAAATCGGTAAAGCCGTTTCGGAGGAGTACGGTAACTAACATTGTGACATGGAAATTTTATTTATAAGACCGCAAACAGACATCGTTTGGCCTTGCGACTTATTGATGGTCTTTGCAAATGCCAATCTAATAGGAAATTGAACGCGTTTGAATTAAATTGGCATGTCTGTGAGAATCATTGGAATTCGTGGCAATAAAACTTTTTCGTTTCGGAACTTGCCATTCAAAATGGTGGCTTCGATAATGTTTTTCATCAATTTTTTAATTACCAATCGCGTATTATTGTACTATTGTATTGTATGTGTACATCTGGAAATACGCGGTCAATGAGAGCATTTTGGGAATTAACGATAGTGCAGAAATTAGGGGGCAGTTTT